TTGCCCCACATCTCCCCATATCCCCTCCCCCCAGCCTTTGGCAACCATGTTCTACTCTGTGCTTTTATGAGTTGGACTGTTTCAGATTCCATCACCACTCTTTCCAAAAGCCTTGATGGAGTTTTTTGTTGTTGTTGTTTTGTTTTGTTTGTTTGTTTATTTTGAAACAAACAAAGCTCTACACCCAACGTGGGGCTTGAAATCACCCCCCCCTGCCCCCGCCCCCGAGATCAAGAGTTGCATGCTCTACCAACTGAGCCAGCCAGGCACCCCTTTTATTTTTTTTAATATTTTTTTTTTTATGGAGTCTTCATTTGATTTTTGCTATTCTTGATTCCAGGATTTGCTTTTTCCATTTATTTATATATTTATGTATGTACGTATTTGAAGGAGGGGGAGGGGCAGAGTGAAAGAGAGAATCCTAAGCACGCTCCTTGTCTAGTGTGGAGCCCAGCGTGGGGCTCGATCCACAACCCTGAAATCATGACCTGAGCTTAAAACAAGCCGGACGCTTAACCGACTGAGCCGCCCAGGCGCCCCTGCTTTTTCTCTTTTTTAAGCCTATAAAATGCACATAACACAAAATTGACCATTTCAACCATTTTTGTTTTCGGTTCTGTGGCGTTAAGTAGGCTCACACTGTGGTGTAGCCAGCCCCGTCATCCATCTCCACCACTTTTTCACTTTCTTGTTTCCCCAGCTGAAACTCTGTCCCTGTGAAGCAGCAGCCCCCCATTCCCCTGGCCCTCAGCCCCGGCAGCCACCATTCTGTCCCTCTGTCCTTCTGTCCCTATCAGCTTGTGTTGTGTTCCTTCTTTATCTCCAGCTTCCCGAACTGTGCGTGCTGTGTGGTAGGTGTTTGGTAAAGAGCTGTTGGATGAATGGGGTGGGGCGGTGCTGAGGGTCCCCCAGGTTGCTGTTTGAGCGAGCACGAGATGGGGTGTGTTAGGGAAATGCTCAGACTCGGCCCGGGTCCCCCGGGGCCTGAGCACCGTGCCTGTCCTCCCCCTACAGGCCTGCTGCTCCTGGTCAGCCTGGAGGTGTTCCGGCATTCCGTGCAAGCCCTCCTGCAGAGAGTCAGCCCTGAGCCTCCCCCGGCCCCCGCCCTGACCTATGAATACTCCTGGTCCCTGAGCTGTGGCGTGGGGGCCAGCCTGGTCCTGCTGCTGGGGGGGGGCTGCTTTCTCCTGCTCACCTTGCCTCCCTGGCCCTGGGGCTCACTCTGCCCCAAGCAGGGGCACAGGGCCGCCTAGAGCCACCACTGTGCCTTCAGCAAGCTCCTTCTAAACCTTTCCTTTTCTCCATTTTATCCCCCCAAATCTGCCCCCCCACGCCATCCTGGAGAAACTGTGGGGCACACATGGTTTGCACAAACCTGCCTCGTCTTTTCCCTCTGTGAATATGTTCTTTTCTGTGGCTGAATTGGGATGCTTGGGGGTAGGATGGGGAGAGGCTTTTTGCAAACGAGGGTCCCCAGGGAAGCCTGGGGGCGACCTGATGGGGTAACTAGGGAGTGGGGTGGGGGCATGAGGTCAGGGGGTCTTGGGAGGAGGGAGTTGGACCGATTCATTTCCCAGATCTGGATGTGTTCACTTGTGGGAGAGACTTCTTCCAACTCATTTGAACCTTGGGGAAACGGGAGGGGGTGGGGAAATCTTTGGGTCTGACCTTGCTATGGTCAGCTTGGGATTAAAAGTTTGGAAATTTAACAGCTTTTATTTGGAGTCTGTCTGGGTGTGATTGTGCGTCCCGGGGTAGAGAAAAGTGACCCCCTCGTGCTCTCCAGAAACCTGTGGCATGCTGCTTGGCAGCCCCAGAGTCACATGTCAAGAAACCCACAGAGAGTGACAGGAAAATGCAGCAATTTAGGACACAAACACTGTGGGTTGAACTGCATCCCTCCCAAATGTCTGTGTTGGGGTCCTAATCCCCAGGACCTCAGCACGAGGCCTGATCTGCAGAGAGGGTCTGTACAGACGTGATTAAGCCCTATTCCAGTGACTGGTGTCCTCATACGGAGGGGAGATTAGGACGCAGACAGGCCCGAGGGAAGAGACAGGGAGAAGGCAGCCAGTCACCTATGAGCCCAGGAGAGAGACTCCAGCGCAGATTCTCCCTCGCGGTCCCTGGTCCTTGGAAGCCCTGAGACACACTGACCCCGGGCTTCCTGCCTCCAGAACCGGGACAGTGCAGTCTGTGGTGCTCTGTTAGGGTGGCCCCAGCGGACCAGCATGGAGTCCAGGACCTGGGAACGGGTGCTAAAGATGAGCACATGGCTCTGGGACAGGGGGCCTAGGAGAGGCTGGGGACTGCTGAAGTGCATGATGGAAGAGCCTCCATGGCCCCCAGGAGACTGCGGGAGGGGACGCGCGTGCGGGAGAGCTGTCTCCTCAGGGAATGCAGTGATCACGTGAACAGAATGCTGGTAGGAACTAGAACAGCAGCTGCGAAAACCAAGGGGAAGGAAGGCCCAGGTCAAGGGTTCCCGTCCCTCGGGCCAAAGGGCCGGCCTTGCACCTTGTGAAGACCAGGTATGTATTTCAACCCAAAAATCACAACTCGAGTACATTCTTCAGTTACACAGAATAGCCGAAGCCGATCTGTTATTTCTCAATTTCTCAACATTTAAAGATACTTAAGGTAGGGATGCCTGGCTGCTCAGTGGGTAGAGCATGCAACTCTTGGTCTCTGGGTCATGAGTCCAAGAGCCCCACATTGGGCATAGAGATTAAAAATTAAAATCTTAAAATCTTTGGGCACCTGGGTGGCTCAGTTGGTTAAGCGACTGCCTTCGGCTCAGGTCATGATCCTGGAGTCCCTGGATCGAGTCCCGCATCGGGCTCCCTGCTCGGCAGGGAGTCTGCTTCTCCCTCTGACCCTCCCCCCTCTCATTCTCTCTGTCAAATAAATAAATAAGATCTTTAAAAAAAAGATCTTAAAATCTTTTTTTTTAAAGATCTTATTTATTTATTTGAGAGAGAGAGAGCACAAGTCAGGGTGGGGGGAGGGCAGGGGGGAGAGGGAGAAGCAGTCTGTGGGGCTCCATCCCAGGACTCTGGGATCATGACCTGAGCTGAAGGCAGGCGCTTAACCGACTGAACCACCCAGGCGCCCCTAAAAATAAAATCTTAAAAAAACTTTTTAAAATTGGGACTATGTGCTGGCTTATGAATACAAATGTGTTAATACCCAGAGTTTGATTCTCTTCAGTGTTGCTATATTTAATTATAAATATAATTACGCATATAATATTATATATTATACCAGTATTATATATAGCTATGATTATGTTATAATCACTTGGTTATTAATAATACTATGGATATTATATTTAACATGTTAACATTCTCTTAAGCATTTCTATATTTGATTATACATTATAAATACAATTATATATTATATAACTATATGATGTAACATAATTATATATTATAGTAATCTTTATATGAATGTTGTATTACTAGCCTATCATGTTATATAAATATAGGATTCATAATATTACATATATGGAACATAATATATATAATGTATAAATATATCATAATATTTATAATATAACATGCCACATAGTATTTCTTTCTTTCTTTCTTTTTTTTTTAAAGATTTTATTTATTTATTTGACAGAGAGAGACACAGTGAGAGAGGGAACACAAGCAGGGGGAGTGGGAGAAGGAGAAGCAGGCCTCCCACGGAGCAGGGAGCCCGATGTGGGGCTCGATCCCAGGACCCTGGGATCCGGACCTGAGCCGAAGGCAGATGCTTAACAACTGAGCCACCCAGGCGCCCCGCCACATAGTATTTCTATAACGCGACGTGTTATAGGACATAAATAATTATGTAGCTATAATTGCAATTATCATCCCAGGGCTCCCAGCAACCTCCTCACTGGGGAGATTCCTTTTCATCCAGGAAACGTGGAGTGGCCTTCTGTTGGTTCACTGAGACCGCACCCCCATCTCAGAGTCAGTGGGGCACTCTTTGGTAGGACTCTCTCTTCCTTCCTTTCTGTACTGAAGTCAGCATCGTGCCGAGGATGGGTGGGGTTCCCATCCTCCTTCGACAGGTAGAGGAGGCGTGGGGCAGTGGCCAGGGAAACCCTAGCTCCACCTTCCACAGCCCGAGCACGTTGCTGGACTGCTGGGCTTCCACTTCTTCATCCCTTCAGAGAGCTCCTCTCAGGGCTTACCTTCTAGAGCCATTGCCAAGAGTGGTGCCATCCTACTCCCTGCAGAGCTTTGGCGCCCAGGCATGACTCAGATCAGCCCTGCTGCTCTTATTATCGAGTGGCACTTTGGGCCCGGCATACAGTAGAGAGCAAAAATGGGACCCCCAAAGAGCTGACAGTCTGGTGATGGAAACAGATATTCATCACATAATCACGCTAATGAACGTGTAATTATAAACTCAGATAAAAGCCAGGGAATGGGATCAGCAATACGTTTTTTTTTCTTTCCCTACTTGACTTTGAGGCCAGCTGGCTCGGGGAGGTTCTGAGAGATGTCCGCTTGGTTTTGGGAACGGCTGTTAGTGCAGGGGGCCTGTGCTCTGCACCCTCTTTCCTACCCAGGGTCTGTGTGGGCTTCTCAGAGGTGGGGGAAAGGAATAGCGACCCACCAATGACTAGTAACTGGAACCACATCGTACTGTGGGATAATTTGCCGAAACATTAACTTGCTTCTCTTCATCTTATATTTTTTGCAGTAAAGGAAAATAGAAGCTTCTTGAAATCTACAATCCTGTCCTTTCTAAATACATTTTAAAACTTTTCAAACATAATTTCAAAGTTACAGAGAAGTTGCAAGAATCAAAATAACGCAAAGACCCACATACTCTTCACTCACGTTCCCTTGTTGCTAATGTTTTACCCTACGTCCATGTGTCTTTTTGAAATTCAGCAAACGTTTATTTTTAAATGTGGAATGCATCAGATATGCAAAAGTGTGTGTAAGAACCCAACATCCCATTTAAAGAATCAGAATAAAAAACACTCGCTTTCTCAGAACCCTGGCTGAGGAAAAGAACTCGGATCTTGGAAGCTGCTTTCATGTTCTTAGCTGAGCTCATCCCCACCTCCAGCTCCAAGATTACCAACCACAACCTGGATTTTGAGTAAGTCCTACCCTTTTCCTTGTAGTTTTGCAAACTATAATTCTACTCTTTAAAGAAAATGTTGTTTCATTTTGCTTATGTTTGAACTTCATGTAAATGGAATCTAACCATGTATATTTTTCTGTGTAATGTTTGTCTTTCTATTTTTTTTAAAGCCTGAAGAAGATTCAAGCTCATGGCCAGAGGGACAGATGAGACCCACAGACATATTTGTTTAGCCTTCACGATGTTTACAAGGTTATTTAATGATTTAATGGAGGGAAAATTCATACAATGTAAAATTAACCATTAGCCATTTTTAAACAAACAATCCAGCAGCATTTAGTACATTCTCAGTGTTGTTGCAAGACGTTTTATGCCCCCAGAGGAAACCCTGTCTGCACCAAACAGATACTCTCCATTTCCCCTAGCCGCTCATCTACTTTCTGTCTCTGTGGATTGACCAATTCCGGGTGTTTCGTATAACTGAAAACAGGTGTTCAGACAAAGACCTGTACATGAATGTTTCCAGCAGCACCATTCACAGGAGCCTAAAGATCTCTGTGGGGAGTCAGAGGAGGGGACGGTGCAGAATCTACTCTAAACATTATTCACTGCCTCCTCAAGGAAAAACAAGGGGCACTCAAGTGTGAGATGTGAAAAGCCAAAGATAAGATAAGGAGGGCTTAGGACTTTGCGTGTCTTCCTTCTCAGTGTTATGAAGGCATATTTCATGCTCTACTTCCTTTACCACTTAGATAAAAATTCAGATTTCTCATGGCTCTGTGTGATCTGGCTTCGTACCTTTCTTCCTGTGCTTTGTTCTGACCAGCCTGCTTTGCCCCCAGCGGCACTGGCCTCATGCTCAGATCTTAGAACTAGAACATACCAACTCTCCCCTGCCTCAGGGCCTTTGCACCTGTTGAAATTCCTGCCTGAGGGGCATTCCCTTTACATTCCTCAGGGCTGGATACTTTGCAGTCTTTAATTTTCGTAAACGCACTTCCTTCCAAGCCTTCCCTGACTCCCTTCCTAAAGGGAAGACACACCCAGTATGTTATATTCTCCACATACCCATTATGTTATATTGGGATCACCCTGCTTATAGCCAGCCGAACACTCATCGCAATCTATAAATATTTATTTACTTGGTTCTGTCCCTCTTTCCAAGCAGAATATAAGCTCCATGAAGGTGGGGATCTTGGCTACTTTTTAAAAATAGTAATAACCCTTCCCCCCCCAAAAAAAAGCCCGGTACATTGTAGGGTGCTCAATAAATGTTTGTTAAATAGCTGGATAAATAAGACAATTCCAGAAATGGGAGGGGCTTGCTCAAGACAGGGAGCCTGCCCCAGGCTTCTGTCTCCTGACTCCCAGACCAGGGTCTAACTGCTGTAGGTACGATGCCCGCCAAGAGCAAGGAAAGCCCTCAAGCGGACTGACTCGGTGTCATGAAGTCCGTTCATGTTGTTGTCGACCTCCAGAACTTTGTCTTCCCAAAGCAAAACTCTCTGTGAAGCAGTCACCCCCCATTCCCCTCTCCCTCTGGCCCCGGGGTAGCTACTTTTTGTCTCTATGAATCTGACAACTCTAGGAACTTCATGTAAGTGGTTTCGTCCAGTATTTGTACTTTCGGGTCCTGGCTTATTTCACTGATCATGATCTACTCGAGGCTCATCCGTGTTGTAGCAGGGAAAATGTATAATTTCCTTCCTTTTTTAAGGCTGTCTAATATCCCCTCGTCTGCCCCAAATTCATATGTTGAAGCCCTCACCTCCAATGTGACTGTATTTGAAGAAACCAGCCCTGCCGGCACCTTCATCTTAGATTTCTAGCCTCTAGAACTATGAGATAACACAGTTCTGTTGCTTCAGCCACCCAGCTATGATATTCTATGATAGCAGTCTGAGCTGATTAATACACATGTATACAGCACATTTTGTTTATCCGTTCATCCGCTGACGGATCACTTCTACCTTCAGTGCTGCTGTGAACACGGGTGTGCAAATATCTGATGCAAATATGCACCTTTGAGTCCCTTGCTTTCGATTCTTTCAGGCTCATGCCCAGACGCAGCAGTTGGAGCATACGGTAATGCTAGTTTATGAGTTGGAATCTGATGGTCCGAATTCTTGTTGGGTCAGTGAGGACTCACAGTGAGAGAAGCTCAGCGGGGATGGCTCTGGGGAGTGTGATGTCGCAATAAACTATATCTCATTTCCTGAAGGGTCAGCAAAAGACCAACTGTGGGGCTGAAAACAGAGCAGGGAGAGAGTGTGACCTCCACAGCTTTGCCCCCTTTCTCAAACTGCAGAACCGGAACAGGGGTCTTTGGAACAGGGCAAAGGGACCCCCGTGTGTGTGGTTCCTGCTCCGCTTTGGGGAGCCTCCTGGGGTTGGGCAAATGGCTTGAGGCTGGAAATGAGGGTCTTGGTGTGGAGACAGGCAGGATGGGACTGGGGTTCTGCAAGGAAATCACCATTACAGTCCTCAGTGAGGTTGTGTTGGACGTTAGATTTTGGGTGACAACAGTGGGTGCCTTGCTTCTTCTCCGTCTTCCTTGGGCTGGAGACAATCATTGGCCGCCACCTAGCTGCAAAAACTGGCAGCCAGCAGGAGCCATGCCGGCTCCCAGCATTGATTCTCTCTTCTGGTTAGCCAGCAGTTTATACCGAACCAGCCCAAACTTAGTGACATAAAACAGCCATCACTGTAGTATGCCCGTGGATTGTAAGGTTGGGAATTTGGGCAGAGCGCAGTGGGGAGGGTAGTATCTGCTCCACAGCATCCCGGCCTCCGCTGGGAAGACCTGCATGGCAGAGAGAGACGTGGGTGGCAGGGTCCCGGCATCGAGCCGAATCATCCTCTACCTGGTCCCAGACCCTGCGCTCATGCTGCTTTCCCTCGCCCTTTAACAAGGAAACTTTTTTTTTTAAAAAGATTTTATTTATTTATTTGAGAGAGAGAAAGAATGAGATGAGAGCACATGAGAGGGGGGAGGGTCAGAGGGAGAAGCAGACTCCCTGCCGAGCAGGGAGCCCGATGCGGGACTCCATCCCGGGACTCCAGGATCATGACCTGAGCCGAAGGCAGTCGCTTAACCAACTGAGCCACCCAGGCGCCCTAACAAGGAAACTTTTAATTTTAGAATGGTTTTAGATTTACAAAAACATTGCAAAGAGAATACAGAGATGCCCATTTATCCTCTGACCTGTTACCACTTCCCCCTATTGTCAATATCCTACGGTACATTTGTCACAATTAATGAACCAAACTCGATACATTGCTGCTGACTAGAGTCCATGCTGTGTTCAGATGTCCTTAGTTCTTACCTCATGTCCTTTCTTCTGTTACAGGATACATGACACTGATACAACATGCCTCCTCTTGACTGCAACAGTTTCCGGACTCCTTGTTCTGAATGACCTTGATGGTTTGAATGACCTTGATGGTTTGAATGACTTTGATGGTTTTGAGGAGTGCTGCTCAGGTGTCAGGGCTGGGGTTCATGTTCACCTGAAGGTGTGGAAGAGCGGTGTTGGAATTAGAAGAGTTATGTTGTTTTTGTGTGTTTGTGTCCAAGAGCTGTGAGTCCCCACGCAGGAGGGTAGCAAGCACCCCAGTTCCTGGCTTCAAGCTCCGAGGGGGATAGCTTCCACTGGACCGCTCAGAGCATTCAGTATGGGGTCAGGGCAGGCTCAGAGAGGAATAGGGTCCGGCTCAAGTTTGAACCATCTCGAGGGCTCAAGGTTGTGGCTCACAGCTCTGCAGACATTTGGGACAGAATGAAGGAATCAGGTGTCTTTTGTGCTTTCCACCAGCGCCACCTGGAGGTGGAAGGTGAACCCTGCAGAGAGGCTGGAAATGGGCTGATGGACCCCAAAGACAGAGCAGGCGGTCCTTCTTTGAGCACCTGGAGGAGATGCGTTTACAGGCACCGGGGGGTATGCAGGTGAGAACGGTGGCCTGAGGAGCAGGAGCGGAGGAGCAGAAGCTCCAGGTGGGGAAATAAAGAAAAAGCTGACCATGCCCAATGCTGCTGCAGGCAACCTGCCAAAAGCATTTCAATTACTGAACTGACACTATTTTTCCCTTGCATGTGACTAATTGGACACCTTTATTACCTAAGATGACTGTGAAGGTCATGAGACTTGCCTTGGATGTCTCCCAAGGGCACAGACCTGTGACGTGGGTGTGTTAGGGTAATGGGGGCGGAAGGAGAGTGCCAGTGTTCTGATCACGCCTGCTTACAGCTCCTACGCTTATGATGAGGGTGACGAACGAACTTGTAACTTGTTCCCATTTGCCCAGAGCTTTCTCAGTCTTAGCCCTGAAATGTCCATGTCCTGTGAAACTCCTCGTTCCCACATCCTGGGGCAGCCCTTGCCCCAGCCCCAGTCCCAGGGTAACAGGGACAGTAGATTCTACTGCTGGTAACAACCCTATCTGGTATCTCTCTCTCTTTATGGTGAGGACGTGGAGTCCTGGCGATTTTAAGAAATCTTCCTTAGGTTCACATAAGCTGAACGTAGACCCAACACCATCTGAAAACAAAGGACACCCCCTTTCCTCAGCCCTGGCCTCTTCCCCGGCATGCCCCCCCCCACACCCTGGAAGACACAAGTTAGGAAAACACCAGTGGGCAACCCTCGCCATACTGCATTTGGAATTTTAGCGAACAAACAGTTGGGAGTCACTTCATTACAATGAAAGGTGTGCTGTAGTGATTTAGGATGAATACCAGAGTGGATGTCCATAAATGATATCTTTTAGGGCCAGCGATATTAACAATATTTGTCCAGACTCTGTTCAGAACAAAATTCATTCTCAGACTAGCTCCGACTCAGAAAACTTTCTCGGGTGTCATTTATTTTAATTTTTTTTGGCTCCGAGGGTTCCCAGAATGACTGAACAAGAAAGCTGCACGGTGAGGGAGGATGCTGAGTGTTGGAAGCAGTCAGAAGCAAGAAAACAAAAGCTGCAGGCATCCCAGCTCCTCGGCGGATGCTCTGAGTCATCTTCGTGTTTCTCCTTAAAGACCGGCTTCCTCCACATGGTGAGACAGATGGCCACCAAGAGCTCCCAAGTTTTAAAGAGAATGACTTCCCCGACAAGAGGAACAGAGGTACCACTCCCCCGCCCGCCCAGCGACTCCCCCGGGGGCTTCAGCACTTGGTCGGCCGTGGGCTGTGCAGGGAGCGGAGGGGAGCAAAGGGGATGCGCCTTCGGGTGCACCGATCCTGGGAGCTGCTGACTGATGCTGGGGCACCAGCTTGGCCAGTTCCAACTAGTGCTGTGGGCCCTCACATTCAGCAGGGACCCTGTGCTCAGGGCTTCGTGCTCTGCACTCACCATCTTGAAGTTCTTAGTCGTTTATCTTGGGATCTGTGTTTTGCTAATGAATTCCTACGGGACAGTGTAGCATATGGGACAGTGTAGCATATGCCCGGGGCTTAGAGCCATGCTGCCCTCCTGCCAGCCGGCCTCCAGCTGCCTCCCTAGTTCCCTGGGTTAGCCTGTTCTCCTGGCTGCTACCACAAAGCAGCACAGACTGGGGGTGGAGGGTGGGGAGGGGGCTTAAACAGCAGAAGTCTATTCTTTCTTGGTTCTGGAGGAACCAAGATCAGCAGGACTGGTTCCTTCTGTCTCAGGCCTCTCTCCTGGCTTCTGGTGCTTCTCGGCTTGTAGACACATCACCCCGATCTCTGCTTTTATGTTCGCACGGTGTTCCCCCTGTGTGCATCTCTGTGCCCAAAGTTCCCTTATAAGGACATAGTCATATTGGACGAAGGGCCCACGCCCTCCTCCAGTAGGACCTCATCTTTCAAATTAGGTCTGCAGTGACCCCATCTCCAAATAAGGCCACATTCTGAGATACAGGGGGGTTAGTACACACATGAATTTTGGGGGTACACGAGCTGAACCCACAAGAGTGTGAATCGGTGTGTGTGATTGTGCACACATAGAGGGTCTGTGTAGCTCTCTCTGTGGGTGTCTGCATAGAATAGTGTGTATGTGTGTGTGTTATGGACCGAGTATTTGTGCTCCCCCAAAACGCATTATGTTGCAGCCCTAAATTCCAGTGTGGCTATATTGGAGATGGGCCTCTAAGGAAGTAATTAAGGTTAAATGAGGTCATAAGAGTGGGGCCCTGATCTGATAGTGTCCTTATGAGAAGAGCCCCAGAGAGTTCACCCTCTCTCTCTGTCTCTTTCTCTCTCTGTCTCTCTCTCTCTCTCTCCACCCACTGCATGAGCACATAGGGAAGGTCATATGAAGACACAGCGAGAGGGTGGCTTCTGCAAGCCAGGAAGAGGGCTCTCACCAGAAGCTGAGTCGGCCAGCACCCCATCCTGGACTTCCAACCTCCAGAACTAAGGAAATAAATAAATGTCTATTGTTTAAATCACCCAATCTACAGGGTGTTACTGTGGCGGCTGGAGGGGTCTAATAGTGTGTGTGTGTGTGTGTGTGTGTCTGAGAGAGAGAGAGAGAGAGAGAGAGAGAAAGGGACTCTTTGTAGAGCAGAGGCCCCTGTAGGTTCATCATGTGTGCCTTTCATGGAAATCCAGACTGAGTCTTCTCTCCCTTCCTCCAGGCTTACTGACCCCTCACTCTCCTCTGCTTTCTGTCCTCACCCCCCACAGTGCACCCCCCGCCCCCAAGCACACACAGTGAGAGCAGAGAGACTGACACACCCAAAGGAGGTTGAAGAGTCTGGGACAGGCCAGGGCCCCAGGATTCAGGAGGCCTCTCTGCTCTTGGACCCCTTCACCCTCTTCCCAACCCAGTCGCCTTGACTGTACTTTACAGACTGACTCAGGCTATAGGGTGAAGGACAAGCTGCAAAGTTCCTGGGAAACAAGCCCCATGCAGGTTGCAGAGCCGGCTGGGTCTCTTCACAAAGAGATGTTGGTTGGGCCCCCTCCCTTAGGCAAAACCACCTCTGCGGTAGGATGGATGGCTCCAGAAGTTCAGCACGTCAGGACAGAGAGGACCCCAGAAACCATCTTATCCTGCTTGTTTCCCACTTTTTTTTTTAGATTTTTTATTTATTTATTTGACAGAGAGAGACACAGTGAGAGAGGGAACACAAGCAGGGGGAGTGGGAGAGGGAGAAGCAGGCTTCC